CATAACTGCATATGGAAATACAGCTGCTCGTGTACATCTCAGAATGAAAAAGTCCCAAATTTTGAATAGGATCTTACTATGGTGAAAAGTGATCTCATTACCCTAGTGCAATTCTTGCAGTAAAAGCAAGACTTCAAGTTAAAATTCTGGAAGGCGTTATTGTGAGGAGAGAGGGGAAAGGAAAGTTTGTGGGGAGATCTTTTTACCCCACCAGCACCTGCCTTAAATGTGTGTTGATGTGAGATAGGCGTTCACTTAAAATAATCAACCACTTCACTTTTGCAGCCAATGAAAATTGAAAGATTTGAAATGAAATTATTTATGACTTGGGAAAAAAAAAAAAAGACACGAAAAAACCCTGAACTAAATAAAGCCAGTCCTCACACCCCCAGAAAACATCTGTTTTCATGTGGTAAGCAAGTTGCCTCGTAGGCATTTATCAGGGACTAAGACCACTGGAGGAAATCAGTATTGCATAAATCGGATGTGCATTTCTGATCGAAATAATTTTAAAATATTTTGCATAAATTAAAAAAGTTAAATTATGCATAATATGTGCATAATTACATCCTTTTGTAAATGATGTTCCCACAGTTAATGATTAAAGAACATCATGCAGTCCCTTGATTTTGAACAATTAAACCTTCCGCGGCTGCATCTATAGATAGATATTCCTCAAGCTCAGCAAGGGGACAGGAGCGCGCCCTAGCACTTGGCTATGATCCGCTCCCTTTTTTTTGATTACTTAAGAGGGCTGTTCAGGACAGAGTATCAGCCTATATGAATACTATCAACCAGCTTGAAGAAGCCAGATTATTTAATTAGCCCTATTAAGACGCTTCTATTTTTATAACTTATTTATGAGTGCTCTCGCTCAGCTTAGAAGGTCTAGCTTCAGGTTTCAAAAAGCATTTTCAGCTCCTGTTGTTAATCTTGAGGGGTTTTACGCTGTGACTCCACTATGTTTTCAGCCTAAGAAAACTTAAGGGGGCTCTGGAGAGCAGTTGAAGTTGGGTAATACACTTCTGCACCCCTGGCCTTGCAGCTTCCAGGTGCAGGACCTTTACAAAGTCCATCCACGATGGACGTTTGCTCACTTTCCAAAACGTGCGTTGTGTGCCTTTGCCTTAGACAACCGATAATCCAGAGGATGGTTATTTAACTCCCATTTTGTTGAAGTGTTTGGTTTCCCCCTAGGGCAGGAGCGTTCCCCAGCCATCACTTCAAGACTACCGTAAAATGAGTGTGTTGCTCGATGTCCGGTGCTGGTAAAATGCAGGGGATGCTTGTTTTGAGCTAGATGCGTTTTTGTCACCGGTCTGGTGAGATCCACGTACTTTGTGTGGTTTTTATCTAGATTTTTTAGAGGAGCAGGAAATGATTTGATGAAATAACTATTAAAATGAAATCAAGCATGCATGTTTACCAAAAGAAAAACCTTTTAAAGCAACTGTGTCCAGAATTGATACCTGTGTCATGGTTGTACCTTCAGTGTTTGAAAGGGTTCTAATTTCATCACAAGGGTGGGACTCCTACTCTGCCACCCCCAAAATTACATTCATTTGCAAAGGAAAAAAAAAAAAAAAGTGTAAAATGTTCACGTCTGAATACGGTCAATGGGCTTTTCCTTTCTGGCTAAACCACTCTGGGCTAGTTTGGAAGAAGAAACTCTCCAGTTACAGAGTGACTTTGTGCTTTGGGAAAAAAACTTCACTGACGGGAAGTGCTGGCTTGTGGCTTGAAGCTTTTGTTGTTCTGGTATCAGTAAAGAAAGAGTTAATTAAACAAAGATCAGTCCCAAGGTGATGGTGAAACAATATATGGATTTGGAAGCAAGGTTAAGGTGTTTTGAAGGCAGAGGGCATCCGTGCAAATTATGGTTCCATCCAAAACTATCCCAAACAAATGTGGTTTGGATAAATCCAGGCAGATGGCATCTGCCAGCTCATGTTTGAAGATCTTCTCCAACTTTAGCTGCAGGTGAATATGCAAAATTGCATCCTCTTACTTAGCAGAGAAGTCTACGTACATGCTTTAATGCATTATGTCATCAGTAAATTATTTTAATAGCAAATAAGGCTTTATTACTTTTGTTCTTGCTTTATTGCATTTGCTGCTCTACATTCAATATGTACAGCATTGGCACAATATAGCTTGCATGCTAGCTAGTGCATTAGCAGAAGAAATGGTAACCGTGTTCCAAGACCGTAATACTTTGATATTGCTACTGCTAAAGCCCAGAGGAAAGGGGAAAGAAAAAAAAAAAAAAGCAAAAACCCAAACCAAAACAAACCCCAACAGTTGTTGCATTTCAGGCTGTTGTACAAAGCTAGGAAATAATAGCTTATAAATGAAGCAAATTTAGTTCTGGAAGGTACCGAGATGAGACAAAATTAAATTAAATTAAATTTCCAAAGTACCAGGGGTATTTTTGGAGTAGGCTTTCAGGTTAAAACAGAACTGTGAGCAATTCAGGATAGCAATATAAATAAATAATTAAAAAAAGAGATGATAATAGGGAATGTAAAAAATACTTGGCGCAGTATTTTAATATGGAGGATGCTTATTAAATTAACTCTGCACATAGGTTTAGGCAACGCTGAAAAGAATTCCACTCCTTGCTCCACAATTAAATAATGAACAGTACACTGAAATAACAGGGAATTAGAAAATTATTGGAGATAAATTTAATGTGGATTAATGTTATTTTGATAAATGTGTTGAGTAAACTGCTCAATGTAGTAATCCGATTTGCCTACGTATATAACTGTCTAATAGAACAGATTTATGCATGGTGCTAGAGAGCATTGCACGCTGTAACTGCGGCGCTATGATAAGTAGAAGAGTCTTGAAGAGATGGGCATGACATGGAGCGGAATAGAAATTTGTATAAATATCCAAAGGAAAAGAATATAGAGAGTTTAGTTTGAAATCAATCTTTCATTTGCCAAATTAATCTTATGTCTGTTGCATAGAAGTTGCTGCAGAACCTATGGAAGATCTTGTATGCAGGGACGTGCCGTTTTTTCCGTTGACATCGATTGCGGTAGGAGGACGCCGGCTCTCCCTGCGAACCCGGCCTGGTTCTCTGCGGGGGACAGAATCACTTGTCCAGGCTTTCACTCTCTTTCTGGTGGAGGTGAACCAGGAACAACTGGGCCAACTTGTTGAAGTTGCTTTGGATTTGCCTACTACTGCCTCAGTACATAAATTTCACCTCGTGAAAAGTCCTCGTGCTTAAGACTCACACGCAATTAGCTCCTCAAACGGCAACTTTTTTATAGCCCGTATGACCTCTGGGTGGCATCACCTGAGATGCGCAGCAGATGGTACATACCATTACCAGGCTACCTCCGGCTGAGGTGCCTCAGAAGAGGTGTGGGAGAGTACTCTTTGAGTGTTACTTTACCCTTCTCCCAACACAAATTTGGAGTCAACTAGGAGAGAGGTTTTCATAGAAAGAGCTTAAAAATCCAGCAAAACCTATTTAATTTTGTTATCGGAGAGCCGATGGCAAAGAACTAGTCATCTATGGCCAGTGACCCAGCCATTCAATGTATCTCTGATACAAGGGGTCCCTATATGCTTGCTTAGATGAAAACCAGGTCCATCTTCTCCGTCTGTGCTGGTTTTCCTTTCCCGCTTACTACTCGGGAAGCCTTTTGCACAAGAACATCATGAGGCTCCACGTGCTTAGCCTTGGCTTTCTCGCCCTTCCCTAGATTTGTACCTGATGGGAAAATACAGCAGAATAGTCTTTGTTTAGTGCATTATGCTGAGCCAAGCACGTAGCCGTTTAGCGTAACGTGCTGCTCTTGTGGATCCCATCAATGATCCACGTGAAGAAGAGGTGATTTGCGTTAAGGTCGGTAGGGAAGCACAGCGCTGCTCCTCCGCTGCTCAGGAACTGCAGGAGGCATTTTTGAAGGTGAGGTTGAGAAAATTGGACCACAGCACGGAGACTGCGGAGAGGAACTTCCCTGGGCGCATCTGGAAAATGAGGATGGAAAGAGCTGCGTGTTACCGGAAGTTTTGGGTTCTGCGCAGTTAGGTGGATCCCTGGCGGGAGAACTGTCTTGGTGTTTGTCACTGGTTCTTCTTGTCTTCCATCCTTTACCACTCTAAGGGAAACGGACAGGCCAAGCACCGCTAAAATTCTCTTAAAATTGCATTGCATTTGGTACACATTCCTTCTTGTCTCTATTTTCGCCAGTATCTTTTTATTTGCTATTTCTGTTGAAAAAACATCCTATCTCAGAGGGTTGTAACTCCATGCCTTCCCTCCCTTTGATTTTTCACACACTTCAAAGTTGTGAAAACACATTTTCCAAGTAATTAATAATAAAGAAACCCTACAAGTGTGATACTGTCAAGTTGAACCAAGAAGAAGGTGAAGCTCAGGACCTGAAAAGTAGTAGCTTCTGAGTGGGTTTCCTATCAGCATTATTTTGAACTAAGTTCTCAACTTTATTAATCAATAAGACCAATATTTTTCATGGTTAAATTACATATGAAAAAGTGGGTATTTTATTTTTTTCCTTTTTTTTAGTTTTTAAAAGCTTGATACATGTAGCGTTGGATCAAGGCACATACAAGACTGGCCAAAGGGCATACAAAGCACTTTGGTTTTTAGTTGAAGAAACAAATGATTATGGCAACAAAGAGTGGCTTGGGGTTTAAACATGAAATAGCTCATAGTTCAGTAGGAAGGCAGAAACAAACACGTTACCTTACAGATTTATCAAGGAATTTCTGGAAAACTGTGACAGTAATGGGCAGTATTCCTGACTGTAATGGCAGTATACTGAACACATACCTGTATACTGTTTGAGTATACACTTTGAAACAGCTGTTTTCCCCAACTGTCTGCTTACCTTCGTGACTCAAGTTTTTTGAGACCTTGCTTATATTGACTGGGTTTTCTGTCCTTTTTTTCTTAGGAAACTGCATTTTCAGCCCTTTTTCTGTTCAAAGCAGTTTCTAAGCGTTGTCTCTGTCCTCCTGCCCTTGCCTCCCAAATGCCTGCGACCATCCATCACTGTTTTCTCTGTAATAAGCAGACTACTGGTTTTGATAACCAGAAATCTACCCCTAAACCGTATCGACCCCCTTGGTTTTCAGAGCCTAGCGCATTTTTTTTTTTTTTTTAAATTCCTTGTTAGGAATTTGATTATGCTTTCTTCCGGGGATCAATTCTTTTTTTTTTTTTTAAACACGTGTCAACAGCTTCAGTCTCGTGCATGTCATCTATTTGATTATTCTCATTCCAATTGGATTTCACCATTGTTGAATGGATATATCCAGACAGCTGATATTGCCCATTACTACACGCATTTTTTTGTTTATTGAATATTGTTGTGGTTTACAGATTTAATAGACCCAACATTGCAAGTTCTGTGAGTTTTTGCAACCACTTCTTGATCTTCCTGATTTGCCAGGTTCAACATTATTTTATTGATACCAAAGTGAAAAATGGCCTGTGCTTACACTTACAAGGATCTCAGATGAATGTTCTGACTGCTCGACACGGCAAGAAAATTCACTTTCACAGTCAACAAGTCATCTTACTCAGTAGAACACAAAAGTTAAATGGTCTGTAACTTCAATATTAGCAAGGAAAATACAGTACAAATTACTAAAAAATACTAAAATATAGAATTGTGGTCAGGTATCCCCACTACATTAATCGCAGCAGTAGCCTGAAATTTGAAACTTTTAATAAAAAGTTCTTAAATATAAATTATATGGCAAATGTACAGTACATTGCTTTGTCAGTCTTTTAATCCAGTGTTTTGCAGTAGAACAGCAACCGTTAAGTCAGTCTTTTCTCGTTTTCTTTAAAAAACAAAACAAAACCAAAAAACCCAACAAAACCCAAACCAGTCTTTCGTGTCCTTCAGTATCATGAGTGTGAATGATCTGAATCTGGAATACCACTGTCTCTGTAGCTCCTGTTACTACTGCTTTCACTGTGGCTGTTCTTGTACAGATTCATGCCATTGGGTGGGAAAATGGTGTGTATTACAAACTCCTCCTTGGACACTTGGTCATTGGTTATTGGTATCATCTGGAAAGAAGTCTCCCTGATTTCTAGGATGGAGTTATCCTTCTTGGTTCCCGCTTCGGCGTAGTCGTCTTTTCTCCGGCGTCCCTTGCTGTAGGTGCAGTTCCGGGAAAACAGGGACCCGTTTCTGTGGACGTACCAGCAGACCAGGGCCAGCAGCGCTATGGCCACCAGCGCCACCGCGCCGCCGATGATGGCGGCCAAGGGCAAGCTGGAGTTTTTGTAAGGTTCTTTCTCCTGCTCCCGGTTGAGGGTCGTGGTAGGGTTGTACATCTTAAGAGGTGCCGTCTCGGTCTCGATGCATTCGGGCGTTTCGTCGGAGAGATAGATGTTGCTGGTTTCCATGGGAACCATGCACACGCGGTATGGCGATTCGGGTTCGAGGGCCGTGAGCAAATAGTCGTTTCTGTCGCCTGTAACTATCGTTTCAGTTATAGATCCAAAGGCAGGGCTGTGACCCATCTTGAGCCAGCTCAGTCTCAAAGCAGTCATTGGTAGTGCAACTTTCCAGGAGATGTGAATGGTCTCCGTGCTTACGGATTTCACAAATATTGTAATGATTTTGCGTACCGGGCTTGCTGTGGTTCTGTAGTTTTTGTTTAGGTTGGGAGTCTTGATGTCTGGTTGTTTGGTCACAGAAACCGGCCAGTGTCCCTGGGCCGGGTATAGCGTGTTTGGTACCGCAGTAGTGATTTGGATGGTGCTTATCACACCATCATCCTTACAATCAAACAGTTCCGCATTGAGGTCTTTGATAGCCATTCCACGTACTTTTTCTGGTGCCTGACACATCAGTCCACGTACGTTAACTTTTAAAGGCAACGACTGTAGCCAGTCACGTACCCATTTCATTTTGCACCCACAGTGCCAAGGGTTGTTGCGAAGAAACAGTTGTGTTATGTTGTCCAGATCATCGAAGACACCCTGAGGTAAATTGCTGAGATTGTTGTTGGACATATCTAGTCGATATAACTGCCTTAAGTAAGAGAAAGCATTGGGTGGCACACGGTTGATGTGGTTTTCTTGAAGATAAAGCTTTCTTAGGTTTGTCCCCGGCAAATTTACCGGTGCGGCTGTGAGCGAATTGCGGACCAATGACAGTTCTGTAAGATTGACTAGATTCATGAAGACTTTGTCTCCTAATCCATGATTATTTAGAAGATTTCCGTCTAAAACAAGGCGTTTTAGATTTGTAAGGTCTTGAAGGGACAGCTCTGAAATCGTGGAAATACGATTATCATCCAAGCGTAGCTCTTCTATCGTTTTAGGCAAACCCCAGGGAATGGTGCTAAGGTGATTTCGAGAGAGAAAAAGAAGTCTGAGATAGATGTTGTCCCGGAAAGCTCCATCCTCAATGCTAACAGCGGAAACGGAATTATCATCCAAATGCAGTTCTTCCAGATAAGGAATTTGTGAAAGTGAATCATAAGTAATGGTCCTTATATTATTCTCCTGCAAATGCAGTTCCTTAACGTACTTAGGGAGGTTAGTGGGGAATTCATCTAGGCTGTTGTGGTATAAATATATTCTTTCCACCCTAAGCAAGTTCTTCAGTTCTGAAGGAATCCCAGCATTATTTATTTGATTGTTCTGAAGGAAGAGGGTAGTAGCATCCTCTGGGATTCCTGTAGGAATAGACGTCAAATCGCGATCATTACAATATATGAAACCCACATCACAGCGACATACTGAAGGGCATGGTTTGGCACTAACAGAATAAGGTGCCATATCAAGTAATAGCCCTATTTTAGTCCAAACTAGGAAGATGCTCCAGGTTACACTAATCATGGTCAGGAATGATGAGATTTGTATACAGTTCTGATCTTCAACAATCTAAAAAAACCAAACAAACAAAATTATCCAGATCATCATTGAGGAAACTGCAATGAAAATTCAACTTCAACATTACAGAAGACATCTGAAACACGCATATTAAACTAGAATTCAAGCTCCTAGACACATTTTACTTTTATTTTCCTTACATCAATAATCGTACTACTACTTGTACCAATTCAATTAAGTTAATAGGTTATTCTGCATAGTAATTGAAAAATCACATAATCAAGTACGTCTGATCTGTGAGTTGTTTTGCTTAAGCAAGAAGGCCCTTTTCTAAGGATTCCTTCGCATTCCATGTGTAGAGACAATCTTGGTTTGCAGATAAGTATAGAGCTGAAGTCACACCCAGAGTTCAAGTAAATCATTCTATATCTGAAAGATAAGAAGTAATTCCTAAGCCAGCTAACTACCCACGAGCCCTTAAGTGAACTATAAAACCCTTAACCAAACCCACAAGTTTAGTGGTAGCTATTTTGGAGGTTCTAAAAAGTCCTACTGGCAAAATATAAAATACAGACAAAAGAGCAAGGGCCAGCTAAGGACTTTTTGCTGAGGTTTTCCGAGTGCTCCACGTTACATCGTGCATCTTGCAAACACCGCAGCCTACTCTTCTTGGGTTTTGAACCGGAATGTTTAGAAAGGTGAATGTTACAATTGGTAGGTAGGTAACAACCTGACGTAGCTGGTACAGCTACGGCTTTCTAGTTGACTGGATGGATATTTCATTACATGCTTAATTTCATGTTTAAATATTTGTCCTTCTCAAAAGTCTTCCTACTAAGCAGTACACTAATGAGAGACTATTTAGAAGGTTTAACCACATTTTCCCATCTTATTAGTTCAAACTGTGCAGGGTAGGATAATATAAATTAACTCTTGAGACTGAAATTGTACTTTGCACCGGTAGTGTGTTTGTACGTTGAGCTCAGGTAATTAGCATTTTTATAGCTTTTAAGACAACATAATTCAATTACCATTGTAATTAGGGTTGTGAGAACTTCTGCAAGATGACCTATGCGTTAGGCGGTGTCATGACCTTTTCTCTTGTGGGTTCATATATTAATTGAACTTTATTCTCTGAGGCACGAAAAGGAAAATAAATTAATATTGATCCTACCGTATTTAAAGGTACGATTAAATTTTGTGCTTGAGGATATCCAGTAAGAGAATGTCTTTCTCGCGAGTCGCTCTTACGGTTTACTCCATGGAGCTGGGTCTTTCTCGGCGGTGTTTACTCAGACGGTCCTTCTCCGTGGTGTTTCCTGGCTCCTGGCACAATACTCAATGAGCATTCCAACCAAGATTTATCATGGTACATAAGCACACCAGGCCCGGGTGTAGAAAAGCTTCAGCTTCCCTCTAGTTTTGTCCTCGTGTAAAGTCTGTGAATGAAGAGCCTCTTTTGTTTGGTTTTAATGCCTTTAGCAGGAATTACTTCCTTTGTAACTCTTACAAACGCTTCTGTGCAGCGTAGTAGTCAGAGGTGGTAACTTCAGCGCCGCGTGATGGAAACTATTCATTATGCTGAGGCCTGAAGGATGGTAACCTCTTCAGGAGGTCAGGAACGGGGCTGCTTTTTCCTGTCCAGAATTATCCGAGTATAAACTTTGTAGAGTAGCTACATCCTGATACATCCACGCCTCTTTGAGAGAACCATTATCCGACTCTCACTTTTTAACGCTTCTTCCAAATTTGTAATGCAGGAAAGAATTCCTCCTGCGCTGCAAGGATGCAAGTTACGCTACTGTAGAAATGTCAGGCGATTCAGATGGTTTTCTTCGTTGGAAAAAAAAAACCTCAAACCCCCCAAAAAAACACCCCACACTGCAAAAATATGATTTCCTTCTCGGAAAACTCCCCTTTTAAAGCTTTCCTTGAAATCTTAATTTCCTGCAAAAGTAAAAACAAACAAAAACATTGGAATTAATAACAACTGGTGGATACTTAAGTATTCAGAGTTGTGTTGCATCCCCAATACAAATCATGCTATGCTTATTGGATAGATGACCAGCACATCTTGTTTTCCCAAAATATTGGTATTTCGGCAAAATACAGAGCTCTTTAAGAACACGCTTTGCTGTTCGGTCTCATGGTACTGCAGTTTTGCTGGAATTCTCTTTTCCTTTCTTCCAATAGAAAATAAAGTTATCCTGAATTAACTGCCAATAACAAAACCTTTGTAAATGACATTCCCAACCTGAGGCTAAAACGGTTGCCTGCTTTGTGTTCTTGGTAAACTGAGGTAGCAGACGATCCTATCCTTGGTTTTAAATGTACAAGGAGCCAATTACCATTCAGTAGTTAATGGATGAAAGGAGAAATGTTTTTGCTAAAATATTCTTTTAGTATTTCACATTGGCAACGTGCTGATTCTGAACTGTGGACTAGCTAGGCATCTGCATCAACTCTTATCTGATGAGAGAGATATACAAGAGAGTTTTGTCCATGAAATGTCCTCAACATGCTAAGCTGTCTGAATTTTTAAGCTATTGTATTTGTCATTTTGCATGGTGGAATTGGTGCTTAGATTAGCATTTTATCTGATTTTTCCAATTTTAAAAAAAAAAAAAAATATTTTCGATCTTGGTCATTCTTATTTCTTAAAGGACTCTAATTATTTGGTTATTTTAGAATGGTATATTTTAACTCGGGCTGCTTCATATCACTACTGCAGAAAAGTAGCCAGCAAGATAGCAAGTCTGTATTCCCCGAGAGCATGTAGGTACTATCTGCCTGAAACAGAAATGGTTAAATCTGAAATTAAAAAATCCTTAACTTCTACTTGCTTCTCCCTTTTGTGGCTTCATGCTGTCTGCTGAAGTGGGCACAATCCTCAGTACTGACATGCTATGAAGAAGCAGCATGCTGAGTAATGCTTGCTTAGCTCCCTTCCTATGAGCTTAACTAGAGTAGTTTCTGGTCCTTCAGAAAATATTAGACGTAAAGAAAAACAGTCTCTGTGTTAAAACTGTCTTTTGCTATTTGAAGCAAGTCCATCATTAAATAGATCGGTAATACTCTTACAGCAACAGGAAATAAGCAATGATACAAAATTATTGACATAAATACAAATTATGCTGCTCTTTTTCACAGCAAAATGTTGACCATTAAAAAAAAACCGCCCCCCCCACTTTAGAGATGGTGTGACTGTCTAGTGAGGGAACGGTAAAGCCTTTTTCTCTCCTGATGCTGCTTTCGTGCTCATCTGAGCTTCAGCTTTGCACCCTGTTATCAGCAGTTGTGTAATGAAAATAGTAACTTAAAATGAGAGACCCTCACTCTGGCAGAAATAAATATTTTAATATGTGCTTTATTGAAGGCGAAAACTCAATCTGCGTGGCCACATTTTAGAATATAAAGGAATGCATGTTTTTTGCTAACTTATGTAACTTGGGTAACTTACACAATCAGTATTATAAAATGGAACAAAAAGGCTCCATGTTCTTGCAGTGTCTAGTTTTCTTGGTCTGTATTATTGCAGTGTTTGGGGAAAGAAGTCCAGGCTCTATCCCTGAAACTCTGAAAAAAACAGTTGCTTAACAGCTGTAGAAAAAATGGTATCTCTTCAGAACTAATGTGAACTTCTGATAGACGGTATTTTCTGGAAGTATATTGTGAAGTAGGAATGTAAATTTCTTAAATAGCCCCATGAAGGCTGCAATAACTTTTAAGTATTAAAAAAAAATAAAATCATAAATTTTCTTTAGAACTGTTAGAGCTGTAAAAACCAGGTTACTCTTAAGCAAAAGAGAGGCTCTAGTATGCATATATTACATACATACATATACACATGAGAAAGTAAGTTTATTTGTTTTACCTTTCTAGCATATAAACTGTTTCCTCTTTGCTCCATTTGATAGTCATCCCTTCATTTATTGCCGCTATTATAATAGCAGTAATGTGTAGGATTAAAATGAAAGCACTAAAGCTCATTAAGTTCTCGGAAATTTTTTTTTTTATCCCTTCTCTCAAAATTACATGAAAACAAGAGAGAGAAAAATAAAAGCAGGTCTCTTTGGAGAAGATGACACTGTTTCAAAAATGTGGATTAAGACTATACCCCCCACTCCCTTTTCTAAACTTAGAGTAGTTTTCTTCAGGTTTTGATTGTTTGATATCTCGCACTTCCCTTTTATATCTGAAGCCATAGCTGAAAACAATGTTTTTGCATATCAAAGGCTCCAGTGATCTGTCTACAGAGAAGAAGGGAATCCTGCTGCCATGCTCCAACTTTCCCCCTTCTTGAGCCGACTCTAAATATTCCCTGACATCAAGTCATTATAGCTGATCCGGCAGGATGAAAAGAAAAGTGACCCCCACTGGTACAGACACTGCGCGTCCAGGTTTCTGCAACATCAAATCGGGAGGCTTCATGGACACATGGTTTTGAAAGAAGCCATTACTTTTGTACAGAGCAGATTTTAGAAAGTATGTGCTAAAATTCAGTTTTAAATGCAAAAATGACTACTTTTTTTGGGTAACAAAAGTAACATTGGAACAACTGAACAGCAGCTTTTTTGCTTATCTTTATCCTGAGTTGAATGTTTTCATGAACTTTGCTGAACTGCATGGTTAAATGGTTAAATTACTTTTCCTGAGACGCTGTGTAAGCAAGTGTATTACTACAGATAGCGGTAATGCCTGAGCCTCGCACGTGTACTTATCGCTGTGGTACAGCTAAGCAGGAGGACATCTTATTTCAAAATGTTCAAAGTAATTTGCGCTATACAAGAAAAATGTACCGAAGAAGAACATTGTATTTACTATGAGGTATGGAGTCCAGTTGGCACTCCCTGTCCTGTAGGCAGGCAACAGCAAAGAAAAAAAATAGTTTTGGTATACTTGAAAAGTTGGGAGTTCATCTAAAAACAGTGCCAAAGAGATCTTTTCTTTCCAAGCTGTGATAAAACGTGAATAAAATCAAGACTTGCCTCACTTGAGGTCACACAATGCTTATTTGAATTTCTAATCTACCTCTGTGTTTTCCGGCAGGAACTCTGGTAGTTCAGTGGCTTCTTTCTAACCATCAAAGTAAGAGGGGGAAGGGAAACAACTCGGTATTTTTAGGTAATAAAATGACAAGAGTATCATTTAAAGGTAACATTAGAATATTCGTATTTGCCAAGCCTAACAATTTTGCTCAATCAGTGCACTTACATTCCACAATTACCTCCTTATTTGTTTATAACCTGAAATGTATCAGAAACATAAAATGTGCTTATCATCTCTTAAAATACTTGTGAAGTCTATCTGTTGCATATATTGCCAGTTCAGCTTACAAAGGTCATGCTGCCTCTTCAATAGCTTCACCAAGTTTAAAAAATAAAAAATAAAATTCCACAGTGCTAATCTACACTTAAAACAATGCCCAGACTTTGTTTTCTTTAAGTGTATTACTCAGGGTTAGTTGATAGTGACAGCAAAATGCTTTCTAAGCACCCTGTCTAGGAGCTGCAATTTCCACGATCATCATATTTCAGGAAGGTGCCCCAGCCTTTTGTTTGGTGCTAGGCAAGCAGAAGGTCCTCTAGCTGGCTTTCCAAGGGGTAAAGAATGCAAAGGATTTTTGTTCAAATGAGAGCCAGCCCTTCAGTCAGGTTGCAATCTCTGTGCTTTGGTGAAATTTAGGGGTTTTCTTCTGCTGGAGAAGGTTTTATTTACTGGGAGAAAATTTGCTCCCCCCCCCTCCCCTTGTGTAGTAGTTGAATATAATACTGCTTTTGTCTTCCTCGTTCTAACTCGAGCATCTTAAAAAATGCAAATTTTGATGTGATCTTCCCTCAACTGCAAGTGAATCTCCCTTAGAAATGGACTCTGAGGAAAAGCTTGACTCCACGCCTAAGATGAGCCAAACCGGTATTTGCTGTGGAAGACAAAAATAAACTACGAGTTTCTTCTGAAGTTCACTTCTAAAACCTTTCCTAGTTTTGAAGATGCTAGGTTGAAAAGATCCAGGCTGTTACGCTAGTCCTCCTCGCTCTCTTGTTTTGACTACTCTGCTTCTGCAAAGGTTGCACCTTAAAAAAAGCACTTTGAGGGGGACTGTTTTGCAATGGCTTTTTGTTTGGTGTTTTTAGTGCTCTCTGAGTTTAGCCAATTATGGCTTCTAGGTTTTCTTTTGAGAGCTGCAGCTGAGGGAACTTGCCCGTGCTTAAAATAAAAGAATAGAG